TAATAATAAATATATAAATAAATAAATAAATAAATAAATAAATAAAAATATTCAGTAATATGACAGGTAGTCCTCGCTATTTGACCACAATAGGGACCAGAATTTAGGTTGCTAAGTGATTTGGTCGTTAAGCAAATTGGAGCAGATTTTAGACCTTTTTTACAATAGTTGTTAAGTGAATCACCATGGTCATTAAGTGAATCATGTGGTTGTTAAGCAAATCCAGCTTCCCCAATGGACGTTTTTTGCCAGAATTCAATGACCAGATGACCGCGGGGGGTTGTAAAGAATCTTTCCCAAGGCTATCGTAACTCTGGACCATCATTAAACAAACAGTCATTAAGCGAGGACTACCTGTATGTGTTTTTAGTTAATAATTATAGGTCATTTTTATCAACAACACTTCTGTTAAAAATGATAAATTTGTTACACTTGTAATTTAAATTATATTGTACTAGGACAATGGTTATCATTCCAATCTTTATTGTCAAATTTGAAAATGTTCACAAATAAAAAAGCATTTTTCTACTTCCATATCTTGAAATCTAATAACTGATAGATAACAAAAATAAGATATTCTATAAAAAAATTAAGTCAACTCTTGTTAATAAGAAAATTTCTTTTATGACTATAAAAGTATCAATGAAAGTAGCATACAATTATTTTTGTGGAATATACATATTTCCATATACATTTGCTTTTTAACAATATACTTAGTCTATGTCTTCTTTTTTCGAGATAACCCGAGTCTCTGATGTGGCAGTTGCTGTTTGCTATTTTTTCTTCATGGGAGGAGATGCAACCCATTCTTCTGAACTGTGAATATATGAATGAATTAGTTTAAATATTACTAATAATTTAAATTTAGAGTGCCATGTATAATTTCCCCTTTTTCCTTAATTTTTTTTGTGTATATAGGCTTTTAATTGTATATTTAAAAATAATTGTTTTTAATGAGTTGTGAGCTGCCCAGAGTCCCCCATTGGGGCGAGATGGGCGGGGACAAATTTAATAAATAAATTTTACAATAGGACTGTAATTGGTGAATCATAAATGCATATCATCGCTAATAACTATTACAAACAAATATATCTATTTTAGGTTTAGAAAGCAAGTAATACTGATCAAACTAAGTATCTTGTAAAGGAGACAAAAATTAAATAATAATAAAGTATATAATATTATATTTTTTAAAAATCTGAAATTAATACTTCCCATAGATTCATTATATAATATAGCCCTTATTAGTCTTTATTCCTTTTAGTATCTGTATATCCTGCCCTAGAACTTCACACACTTAGATACAAACATACATCAAATTCTCAGGTCTACTTGTACCACTTGTACAACTAACAAAGAATCCTAAAAAAGAAAGACAGGCTGGGTAAGGACTATTTCAATAAATAACTGTTGCTTTTCTAAGTTCCCTAAAAAAGTGATATGCAGAGCAATTAAACTTCACTTGAAGACTAACCAGATTTATTACAATTTTCTTTTAAACATTAGAGGTTCTGGATTTACTTGCTATAATTCTGCTAGCTGATAATGGGCAAACTATACTCTTGGAGATTCATCTCAATGTCTACAATATACTGATCTGGATGTCAGGTACTATAAGTTCAAATACAGTAGCGACTGCTTAATCTGGCCCAGCCTTCTAGGATCAGGCATGATAATGCAGATAGGATATTATCACATGGTGATCCACTAGAGATTCTCAACCACTACCATCATGGCTGATTAGATTTATCCAAAAGTTTTGGATAGTCTAGGGTATATTAAATGAATTTTTTCAAGATGGGGAGTTTTTGCCTATTTTTCAAGAATCCAAAGAGGTCCTTAATAATCAGTCACTGATACATCCTTTTTAGGGAAGGTACTTGAGAGAAAGTGATATTGGTAAATGACAAACTAATTGGTGGAAGACAGCACAGATGCTGGGTCTGTTGTGTTGCTTAGTAAGCTTCTGCTTCCAATAATTTTTCCAAGTAGCTGATTTGATACTGGGAATAGATTTACACAGTACCACCACCCAGCAAAGAATGATTACAGGAGTCACTTGTTACCGAAAAAGTAAAGATAAATTGTATTGTCGAAGGCTTTCACGGCCGGAATACGATGGCTGACGTGGGTCTTCCAGGCTGTGTGGCCGTGTTCTGGAAGTTTGTGGACGACACCTTTGCAATTTGGAGTCAGGATGAAGAACTGGAGAAGTTTCTGAACCACCTAAATGGCATCCACCCCAATATACAATTCACCATGGAAAAAGAAATTGACGGCAAACTTCCGTTTCTAGACACGTTGGTCATATGCAAACCGGACCTCAAATTAGGACACAAAGTTTACAGAAAAACCACCCACACAGACTGGTACCTACACAAAAACTCCAACCACCACCCACGTCAGAAAAGAGGCATTATCAAAATGAAGTATCGTGCCAATTGGATCTGCGAAACCCAATTCCTAAACACTGAACTTAACCATCTTAATTGGGTCCTACAAGTGAATGGCTACTCCAAGAATGAAATAAAAAGAGCCATCAAACCTAGAAAACCACATGCGACTGAAGAAGAAAAACAGCCATCCACCAACAAAGTATTTCTGCCCTACATCAAAGGGGGTCACGGACCGCATGGGAAAACTGATGGAAAAACACGACTTCCAAACAATCTTCAGACCCACCAGAAAAATACAACAAATGCTAAAATCAGCAAAGGACAAAAGGGACCCCCTCACCGCCACAGGAGTATACCGCATACGATGCAGCTGCAGACAAGTATACATTGGAACCACAAAACGCAGCATCCAAGCCAGGATAAAAGAACGCAAAAGACACTGCAGACTACAGCAACCAGAAAAATCTGCAGTAGCTGAACATGCTCTCAAGC